CCCTGCCAGACAGCACAGCCAGGTCCTGTACTGCATGAGACCTCTCTGCAGTAGTCAAACAACACAGCCTAGTCTAAGACCAGCCCCCAGCCTGTGATTGGATAATTAGTGGGGCACACCAATGAGATGATCACTTTGCACCTGTCAGGGAGCTTCCTGTTTTAAGGTGCCCATACACTCTACAACCCTGTAAAGTACTTTAAAAAACGTACGATCTGCCCATCTTGGACAGGCAGATCGTACGTTTTTTTAATTACTTTACAACCATCGCAAGACCTCAGTCTTGCGATGGTTGTAAAGTAATTAAAAAAACGTACGATCTGCCCATCTTGGACAGGCAGATCGTACGTTTTTTTAATTACTTTACAACCATCGCAAGACCTCAGTCTTGCGATGGTTGTAAAGTGTATGGCCACCTTTAAGGAGCCCATACACTGCACGATTCGTACGATTCTCGGCGGGTTAGTGGCCTGCTTGTTCGACAACTGCCGAATGGGCCAGTGTGCGCACGCGCACACTGCCTGTTTGCAGTGATCAGAAGCCGGCACCTCATTGTGGGCATTTTCGATGATCGCAAGTACGATCTGCCTGTCCAAGATGGGCGAACATACAAGCTTTTAATAAGCTTACGACCATCGCAAGACAAAAGTCTTGCGATGGTCGTAAGGTGTATGGGCACCTTTAGATAAACAGCACACCCAGGTCCTGTACTCAGTCCGTCCTCTCTGCAGCAATCAAACAACACAGCCTAGTTTGGAATCAACCTGCAGCCTGTGATTGGATAATTAGATAGTGGGGCCCACTCAAGAGATCATCACTCTGCTCTTTGCACCTGTCAGGAAGCTTCCTGTCTAAAGGTGCCCATACACTGCACGATTATCGTACGATAATCGTATGCGATCGGTTTTTCGTACGATAATCGAGCAGTGTGAACGGAGACGTGCGACCGTTTCTACTGTACGGTCGCACGTCTTCTGTCGAACCAGCATGTTCGAAAACCAGCCGGGAATCGTACGATTCTCGGCTGGTTAGAACGGTGCTCGGAAGATAAATGCTGAACGGGCCGGTGTGCGCACGCGCACACTGCCCGTTCAGCATTGCGGTCATCGGAAGCCCGCCCCTCAGGGGGGCGGGCTTGCGATGATCGAGAGTGCGATCTGCCTGTCCAAGATAGGCAGATCGTACGTTTTTTTAATCCCTTTACAACCATCGCAAGACTAAAGTCTTGCGATGGTTGTAGAGTGTATGGCCACCTTAAAAGGTATGGCCAGGTATGTATGGCCACCTTAAAGGTGGCCATACACTCTACAACCATCGCAAGACTTTAGTCTTGCGATGGTTGTAAAGGGATTAAAAAAACGTACGATCTGCCTATCTTGGACAGGCAGATCGCACTCTCGATCATCGCAAGCCCGCCCCCATGATCGCATGTACGATCTGCCTGTCCAAGATAGGCAGATCGTACGTTTTTTTAATCCCTTTACAACCATCGCAAGACTAAAGTCTTGCGATGGTTGTAGAGTGTATGGCCACCTTAAAAGGTATGGCCAGGTATGTATGGCCACCTTAAAGGTGGCCATACCCTCTACAACCATCGCAAGACTTTAGTCTTGCGATGGTTGTAAAGGGATTAAAAAAACGTACGATCTGCCCATCTTGGACAGGCAGATCGTACATGCGATCATGGGGGCGGGCTTGCGATGACGGCAAACGAGCAGTGTGCGCGTGCGCACACCGGCCCGTTCGTCAGTTGTCGAACAAGCAGGCCACTAACTCGCCGAGAATCGTACGATTCCCGGCGGGTTTTCCAGCCTGCTTGTTCGATGGAAGACGTGCGACCGTACAGTAGAAACGGTTGCACGCCTTCCATACACTGTACGATTCTCGTACGATCGCGGGATTTCCCACGATTCTCGTACGAGAATCGTACAGTGTATGGGCACCTTTAGGTGGACTGCACAGCCAGGTCCTGTACTCCATGAGACCTCTGTGCAGCAGTCAAATAACGGGACTACTCTGGGACCAGCCCCCAGCCTGTGATTCACTCTGCACCTGACAAGAAGCTTCCTGTTATAGATGGACAGCACAGAGCCACTCTTGTGCAGCCCCTTGCTCTCTAATTTTATTTTTTTTTGTTAGCAATTCCATTACTAGATTAAATTGTGTATTTTATACCTTCCTGGATTTCAGGTTTTACCACATACATTTAAAAAAAAAAAACCACATCAGAACCGCTAATTATATCCAATACAACAGTGCTAACGTATTAATCCCCATCCATTGTAAAATTATGTATCATAGCTATGGTGGTGTCATTGTACATAGTTTCTGAACACACTGCACCCTCCTGTTACATGTTTCTGTGCTGTAAAACCTTTCCCCTCATAAATGATTGGTTAAGTGGGTGATGTCTGCAAACACACTGCCTTACATTCTTCACAATTTCATGTTCATTACCATTCAGAACATCATCACAAGTTCAACAAATTTGCTAGATTAGGCTGGGGCAGGGGTGGGAAACTCTGGCCCTTCAGCTGTTGTGGAACTACAAGTCCCATGAGGCATTGCAAGCCTGACAGTTACATACATGACTCCAGGTGGCAGAGGCATTTGTAGTTAAAGCACAGCTGGAGGGCCGGAGTTGCCCACCCCTGGGGTAGAGGGTCAGCTAGCTGCACAGAATTAAATTAGAACCTATGCACGGGTTGCATGTGTCAGTTTAAAGGCGACATTTATACCTTTGCCTGAGGACTACCCTCAATGTAGATTTTAGAGCCAAAGCCAGTAAAAATGATATCCACCAGAGAATTTAGTTTGAACAGAATGTTACACAACTCCAGCCAAAACTCTTCATGTTAGTGGAAAAGTTGCTATTTGTAACTCCACTGGGACGTCTCTCGGAGTCTTAAGATGACCTTAGACTAACAGATTTCCCCGTCCACGCTAAACAGTGCAAATGGCCAAATCTCCTGCTGCCGCTACTGTATTCTGACAGCCAGTGCCTGCCGATGTCAGAATACATAAACCTTGTCTGCAGCTGGTTCGTTGCAGTCACCGTTTGGCTGAACATTTTAGGCCCGGCTCAATTGACAAAAGTCAATTGAGCTTCAGCAAACATCTTTTATTGGCCGAAATTCTAACAGTGTATGGCCAACCATAGGGATAGACAAGCACAAAAAGCAAAATAAACCTCACATGAGGGATGAGGTTCAGGTTCATCACGACCATGTGTTTGCAATAACCTGGATTTGTGAAGTTTTGGACAAAAGCTTTACATGTTGGCCATCAGAAATAAGGGGCAACCTATAGTATAATGCAGTAAGGGATGAGCCTTCTATAGAAGGAGCATCTCCAAACCTGAAGGAAGCTCCTTCCACTGCTGCCCAATCATCTGTGACTGGGAAATTACCCACCCTCAGCTGCTCAAAAGCAAGAGTGGGATGCAGTGATGTCATTGACCTTATATGGCCACATGGTTATATAAGGTCAATGACATCAGCACTAGCGTTGCGCCCCTTTGTTTATGTGCAGATGCCAGGCGGAGAATGCCCCAGCCCACAGCTGATTGGGCAGGTGGCCCATGACATTTCTGTGTGTCAGGGTCAGACCACGTTTGGTTCAAACCTGAGCTCAAACCTAAATGCTGTACATAGCCTTTGCCCATGGTCAGCTGAGTCACCAGAGCCAATCATTTGAAGGAATGGATAACCCAGCCCCCATTCTATAAAACGGTGGGCTCCCAGCTGCCATATTGTCAATGTGTGTTGGACGTGTTAAGGAGAGATACTAATTTTTTGTTTGTGTGTGTTTTTTTATATTTTTATATATTTTTGCATTGGCAATTGTCCCCCCTGGTAGTACCTGACTTCCCTTAGGGTCCCCACACACCTTACGATTATCGTACGATAATCGCGGGAAATCCCGCGATCGTACGATGATCGTAAGGTGTGTGGAAGCCGTGCGACCTCTACTACTGTAAGGTCGCACGACTTTAAACTTACGGACATGTTTGAAAACCCGCCTTCAATCCTGTTTATCAGAAGGTTCATGTACTTTGAGCAAAATAAAAAACAAACAAAACAAGCCTTTATATTCCCCTTTTCCCCATTGGGCAAATAGGGACATTAAAATAGAACTCTGAGGGAACTCTCACATTTGCACTTGCACATTATGGTAACACATCTAATGTCCTGCTGCGTTGCAGTGCCATTCATTTTGTGTGAAACCCCAACGCACCTGCATTGTAGAGTGCTGCCGTGCACAGTAGTGTAGTGGTGCGCTGAGTTAGAAAAAAGCATCAGGGCTGATTTTTAACACAATTGAGTCAATTGGCAATTGGTCTTAAAGTACAACTCTGGGCAAAGTTTTTATAAACCCTTGTAATGGGGCTACCCCCACACTGAAAGGGTTAATGACTTCTTTTCGCCTAGGTGCTAAAATAAAAAGGTTCACCCAATCCTCGAAACCGTCTTGGTCCTAGGCTGGTCCCTCCAGCTTCTCTCCTCCTACGTTGCAGCGATGGTAAGTTACTCGGTCTCCTCACGTCCTATACACAGTATATTAGATGAGATGACTCGAGGGTCCTTAGACCTCTGCAGAGGAGGGGTCGAGAGGCTCCAGGGACCGCTCTAAGAATCGGGTGAGTATAACGTTTTTCTTTTAGCACCTAGACGAAACAAGCGGTTAACACTTGCAGCGCAGGGGTAGCCCCACTGCAAGGGTTACTAAAAGTTTTGCCCAGAGTTCTTCCTTAAGGTAACGCACGATAGCGCATGACATAACGCGTGTTGCCGCGTGGCAAATAAGTAAATAGGCCCAGACAGAGGTTCTAACCCTTCAAAAATCTAAGTATTAAAACGTTTTTCTGGAGTTGGGCTTTAACTTTTCTATCATTAATCATGAAAACTTTTCCTTATAAATGGACCCGCTGTGGTTTATAAATCTCTCTTTGAGTGTCTGTGCAGATTAGCGCAGCTGCATGTGATCTGAGCAACACTCACCTGCTCCACCCGAATTTCATACTCCATGTTCACTTTCTTGCCTCTGAAATACTTGGCCCTGCCGGGAAGGAAACGACAGATAAACATTAGCCTGGCTTCCTTGTCCTGTTGAAGTCATGTTCATTGCCAGCGCGGTGATAGATTACAGAGAAATGTTATGTAACCGCAGGTTTAAAGGGACCAGTTTATATTCCAGAACGTGCTCCTACATCACATGTAAGGATACTGGTGGGGGCAAATGTGACAGCTTGTTTCCTTCTCCCGTCCTGCCAGCCTTTAAACTCTGCAGCTGGCCATCTTTGAAAGTTTAAAAAAAAAAAAAGGACAAAAAATGTTTTCTTCCATAAAACTATTACTCACTTTGCTAAAGGTCTGGGCGGCTCTCTGTTAGGTTGTATATGTGAAAACTTAGACCTGCCAGACAGAAATACTACATTGTAACAAAGCAAGTGAAACGGATGAAAAGATCACCTGTGCGTAGGTTTGCCACCTGTCCAGGATTCACCTGGACAGTTCGGGTTTTGAATGCTGTGTTCGGGTTTCATGGCAGCAGAAACCCGGACACTAGATGTCACGCAGGCAGGGGCAACCAAAACTAAGATAGGGGCTAATGGCCCCCCACTGAAAATAGTCTCAGCTTTGATATTCACATATGAATGGGTGGTGCTACTTACATATGAATAAGCCACGACTCATTCTTCCAAGAAAAAAATGTCCCTGCGTCGCTAGAATGTTCGGGTTTCACTTGAACAAAGGGTGGCAACCCTACCTGTGCGATTTGTTCAAGTAAAGGGCCCAGTCCTATCTCCATGTCCTGGATTGCAACTTGGCATTTAGACAATGCCGAACTGATAAGCCCTGGTTCACACCTAGGAGTTTTTGAGCAGTTCGAAAAGCGCTTTTAACTGCCCACCACAAGAAATCTCATGATTTTCAATGACCTTGGTTCACACCTGAGCAAGCAAACCCCTAGCAGGAAAAAACATACACCTGAAAAGATACAGGAGCTTGTTTGGGCAGTTAAAAACACTTTTCCTCCCCATAGACTTCATTGGAAATGCCCAAAAACACGCAATAGAAGCATGTTGCACATTTTCATGTGCGTTCTTCCATTGCCCTCAATGGTTTATGAGCTGGCAATCAAAACACACGAAAAATGGTGCCACCTAGGTGTGAACCAGGGCTAAGACAGCCCATACTTCCTGATGCCAGCTATCTCCAGCATTAGCTGAACCCTGTTTTGGGGGTTTTACTTACTACAAAGCAGGGGTGGGGGACCTCTGGCCCTCCAGCTGTGGTGAAACTACAAATCCCATGAGCCATTGCAAGATTCTCACAGCCACAGGCATGACTCCCAGAGACAGATGCATCATGGGATTTGTAGTTTCACCACAGCTGGAAAGCCGGAGGTTCTCCACCCCTGCTTTAGAGACAGTAAGGGTAAGATAAAACCAGGAGGTAAGATGTGTCAGTACGGGGGTACCTGGCTACAGCTGAATGGACAATAACAATGCAGAAGGATTACGTAACCAATCCAATGTCTATGAGCCAAAACATGAAAAGCCCAGAAAGCTTTTTAGGGGTACAACATGACTAATCAGATTGGGACTCCATTGTCCAATTACTATTGTTTCCCAAAGTACCTGGATTATCTATACATGGCATCTCCAATATATTCTGCTCTGGTATATGGTAACATTTGCCCAGTGGCTTAACTATAGCCATAGCAGCCCAGGTGAATGCTATGGGGCCTGGGGGTGGAAAGGGCCCCATTAGGTTGTTGAGGCAAATTATACATAGAACATGTGAAGATATACAGTACTGTGTCATTAAGGGTTGGAGTGGTTGCAGTTGACAACTGTAATCCCCTGTAGGGTCTACAGTGTATAGACAAATTCAGGGGCACAAGAGGAGTCTTTTGTATCTCGGCATTGTTACTCACAGCTGAGAGAGGTCATCAGGGGGCACATCACATTTTTTATATGGGGCCCCGTGATCTGTTGTTAAAGCCCTGCATTTGCCCATATACCCTGAATGGAATGGCAGGGGAGGGAAGGAACAGTGAGTATGTGCTGCAGGGGAAGGGAACAGTTAAAGGCTAAGTGCACTTTAAAACAAAGGACATTGATCCCTTTTGCCCCTTCCCCTGACCTAACCTAACCCACCCTTCCCCTCTACACTTGCATACATACCTTGATCCAGTTCCACTATTTACAACAGTCTTCACTGTCCTGGTCATGCCTGATCATTATTGCCCAATGGATCTCTGTGTCCTGAGACCATAGATCATCAGAAATGGTGCCATAGAAGTCTATGGGGCTGTATTGTACAGGTGCAGCAGTTTAGCAAAAGACACTGGGCAGGGCTGTCACCATTCAGTGTGCAAAAATGCTGTGTGTCAGCCCACAACAGCGCTTAAAACCCTGAGCACATTTCTTTTATATCAAAAGGTATCTTGCAGGTTTTTTACAGCGATAAAACATGAGGAGATGTGCATGGATTATAGAGATGAACTGCATATGTTTTGGTGTTTTGTTTGCCTTGACATTCGCTTTATTGGTGTATGACTGAGTACAGAGCTGCATTGATTTGTCTCTTTTATATCTTCCCGGAGTTCAGCTTTAAGCTGCTCACATTCACACATAGAATTACAAAACCATAAATGTGCATTTCCTTTAAATCCAATTTCTGTTTTTAGATAAAATCTCGCAGCGGAGATGCCTGTTGATGTGTGTGTGTGTGATTCCTCTCGTCTCCTTATGGGGTACATGAGAAGGATTTCTCTCTGGTGACACTAACAAAAAAGAAAATCCCCCATGGGAATAAAAAGGATTCTTTTTCTTTTGTACGTTGACTTATTTTGGCCGGGGATTGTATGACCCCTCAGTGCGGAGGCTGCTGTGTATGTAGATCATGTCCGTCCGTCTCACCAAGCGCCGTTTGTGGGAACGATGCAGAGATACGTCACGTCTGGCTGATGTCTGCGCTGCAATAATGACCGGGGACAGAGAAGAGTGTCACCCACTGCGAGCATCCCCCGGTATCAGCGGCCGGAGGATCCGGGGGGACAAGGCCCTACTGTATCAGGGCTTTTGTGTGCAGATAAAGGGTGCCAGACAGCAGCGAGAGGCGCACTGCCTGGGAGATGGCGAGCAAAGATAGAAGAATGTTCTGCAGCCATCTGGGCTGCTCTGTGGGTCAGAGGCATTGCATAGCGACACCGTTCATAACGGATTCAGCCTTTCTTCTCGTCTGTGGTTGCTTAAGATCACCGAGAATTGTTGTTTCCTAATCCTCGATCTCCGCATTATCTCCGTTACATTTGTAAAACCTGAGAGAGGGGCTTACTTCAAATTTGGCATTCCGAATTACTGGGATGGATAAGAGGGGCGACTTGTAGCACAGGCAGAGACGACCTTGGCAAAAGACACACTTTAGCGCAGTTACAGAAGCCTACCTTGGTCGGCACCAACAAAATATACATTGTTTAAAGTACAACTGAGCTTTGAGATGAAACCAGCTAAGTACATTCCAGGTGCATCAAAAGTAAAGGTGTTCTAAGTGTCATGTTTTTTTAGAAGGCAGCCACAGCTTATGTAGAAAAGGCTGTACCCTGCCAGCATGCTGCAGAGAAAGACCCTTGCTCTCTGTATGGAAGCAGTTGTATCTCTGCAGAGGTGCAATATGCCCCCTCTGAATCAGAGCCAGGATTTTCCAATCAGCAGGGAGCATGTGCTTTGCTGGTTGGAGAGCTGTAGCTCTAACTCAGCAGGGGGTATATCTGACTTCTACAGAGAGACCACTGCTTCAACACAGGGAGTCCTTTGGTGTGTGAAAAGGGGGAGCTTGACTGACTATAAAGGATAGCACGTCAAAAAAGCGGTTGTCAATAGATCGGGACAGACCCAAAGTGTAGTGTTGTAAAAAAAAGAATGTATTATGAGTATATAAAAAGGCAAAAACACAGCCACCAATACACTAGCAAAGACAATTAAACCCAATACATAACATTTACAAAACTAAGACCATGTGGGCAGGTAGGATGATTGGCCTACAATATAATGAACATGGATAACCTGATATAAACCAGCGGGTAGAGATTAAATATGCGTACGGGATAAAATGAAACTTTGGGTGATGATCCCTCTTGGGGTTAAATGATAAAGGAGGTGGACAGCCGGGCCCCGTCTGGCTGGAGATTTTAGCAAGTGTAGAACATATCCACAAGGCAGACGGTGAACTCCATGTTTGCCAACAAAGCAACAACAAGTGTTCCTATAGTCGATTTAAAAGTCGAGAGATTCAGAGAGATCGGAGTGTCTTTTAATTATCCTGAAAGGCCGGTAACTACATATGTATTTCAATCCCCTCTTCTCACAGCACAGCCTTGCCGATAATCAGCTGAAGAAGGATTCAGTAGTGATAACATAGTAACATTCTATGTGCAGATTGGCGTCCACTGTTTATCGTTACATAGTCTCTATATTTAATGATGTTGCAAGCGGCTGGTCAATGTGGATACTCGCCAAGAAAACAAATTCGTTTTTGGCTGGAGATGACAGCCAAGGGGAACTATCTTATATTCAGGTAGTACTTTGAAGGTCTGTGTGTATAATGAACCAAACTACTCACTCAGATGGTTGTCCGTGAGGTTTGTCATGGATTTCCTTTCCTTTTGCCGTTTTTCTTTGGACCAGAATCATCCTTCAGATGTATTTGAGAGTTTCTTCTGAAAGTGTTTAAAAAGTCCGGTGATCGATCCCTCTTTGGAGATATAAACAGAAAAAAAGAAATTGCCATGGGGCTTGGATCTCTCCTTGGAGATATACAGGTTTCCCGGCCATCTGGCAGTAGTGATCCGCTGTTAGTCTGGTTAGTTCAGTCATAAGTAAGAGGTCTGTAGGCCATCCAAACCGGCAGCCATGCAACGTCTATGCGTTTCGCCCCTCCCACACGGGGGCTTCATCAGGACGTACTTGCAAGCAGGGTGAGAGACTAATATATAGTCAGTACACACCTGACGGCGTTCATTCTCTTAATCACGAAGGTCCATTCGCATTGGAAGTATAACATAGAAATGTCACTAAACATCTTAAAAAGAATCCCACATATTGTAGCAGAAAGTGTTATATATATATTTATATATATATATATAGTACATTCATATAGGAGAAAACTCAAACAATTACCTATAGATGTCTCTACAGTATAATATAATAGGGGGTTCGTATACCAGCTGAAAATTCCCATTCTTAGTATAGGAAGACTCAGAGAAATACATTAAAGAAGAACTATGGGGTTAGGGCTTTTCCCCATAGTTCTCCTTAGGTTAACGGGAGGACACAAACTAGTGTCCTCCCGTTACCCTAAGCTCAGTATACCGCGAGCTACAGCTCGCGGTATACTGAGACGCCAGAGCCGGAGCGGATCCCAACATCGATGTGGAGATCCGCCCAGCTGCGTGAGTGACAGCTCGCTGCGCCCATCTTTCTAGAGGCAGAGCCAGCTGTACCCGCCCCCTCCCCCGTCCGTTCTGCCAGTCAGCGCTGGCGGAGTGGGGAGGGGGGAATCCAGCCCCTCCCCCTGTCACGGCAGAGAGCCGTGACAGGATCGAGAGGTGAGCAAACCCGGTATGTGTTCGCTCACCTCCCGATCTACTGAGCCGACCTGTGACAGTCTCATTGTCACAGCTCGGCTAGAACTATGAGGTGAGTGGAAATCACTCATGTCATAGTTCTCCTTTAAGATTTAGCTAATTGTTTAAGCCTATTGGTATCATAGTGTCAAGTCGATCCACATCTTCTCCATTTGTAATAGGATTGTATCAAAATCTCCCCTCCGGGGGGATAAGTTTAGTGCATATACGATTTTCACTTTTAATCCATCTGGTAGCCCTCCATGGAATTCAGTAAAATGTGTGGCTATTGGACTTTCATTATATTTTTTTCTTGATGTCTCTCAAGTTTTCACCAATGCGCAACCGCAGTTGGTGTTTCGTTTTTCCTATATTCTTCCTCCTGTCCTGGGCCCCCTCCAAGTGGCCGAACTCCAGGGCCCGGTCGCGGCCGCGACCTCTGCGACCCTGGTAGTTCCGCCACTGCACAGTTCACAAATTGAGTTATGTTAAAGATAAACATTCGTTTTATCAATGAAGGGGCAGAATTGGCATTTGCCACAAGGGAACATCTCCTTTGGTCTATTTGATCCTAGCAACAAATGTTTAGGGGGACTAGGCCTATATTCTGAGCGGACTAGTGCATCTCTAAGGTTCTGCGAGTGGCGCACTGTTAGTAGCGGTCTGGGGCCCACTATATTTTATAAGCCAGGACATAAGTCAAAAATATGCCAGTGCTTGGTCATGACTTGAGTCCTTTGGTGTAACAGTCTGGAAGGGGGACTCACTGTGGCTGTTCTTGAAAACAAACTGTAAGCCATTGTACATCTGTAATGTATTTAGCTAAATTAAACTGAATTTCTAATGAGCGTGAGGGTACGTTCACACTATAGCAGCAGCTGCACCGGGGTGGGTGTTACCTGGTGTGGGCGCCGTGCACACATTATGACGTGATTGACGTCATCACACATGCGCGGTCATGTACTTCACCGCCGGTGACCATCTTCGTGATGGATGCTGGCAATGGATGGATGCCCCCTCCCCGCTTTCTCATGATGCTGTGTTGGGCTCTAAGCTCATGACCGAGTGCCTGACTTTTAAGAGTGGGTGACACCAAAATGACTGACATTCATTCTGATGATATCACTCGGTGTGCTCCCTCCCGTATCACCCTAGTGATGCCACTGCAGTATAGCACAGTGGTCCTACTGTAGTATGTAGTATCGTGCACTAGGTGCTTTCCATAGGCATTCATTTAAATGGCAGGCTGTGCGTTGTGGTGTGGTGAAAAAAAGGAGTGCATGCACTCCTTTTTTTCACTGCATCACAACACACGGTATTGGACCATACATCACATTCATGGCACAATGTATCACAGCCATTCACTATTAGTTATGCCTCTTGAAAAGGAACACCTATTGGGGTGGATATAAAGTGGACCTAGTATCAGATATACAGGTGAAACTCGAATAATTAGAATATCGTGCAAAGTTCATTTATTTCACTAATACAACTTAAAAGGGGAAACTAATATATGAGATAGACTCATTACATGCAAAGCAAGATAGTTCAAGCCGTGATTTGTCATAATTGTGATGATTATGGCTTACAGCTCATGAAAACCCCAAGAACCCCAAATCCACAGCCTCAAAAAAGTAGATTATTACATGCAATCAATAAAACAAGGATTGTACATAGAACAATACCGGACCTCTGAAAAGTACAAGCATGCATATGTACTCAGTACTTGGTTTGGGCCCCTTTTGCAGCACTTACTGCAATTACTTTTGCACGATATTCTAATTATTCGAGTTTCACCTGTATTTGTCAGGGTAAGTCCATGGCACGCTGAGTAAGATGTACACTTCCAGGCTAAATAAGTAAAGCATTATAAGCATTTTAGTGGTCATATTGTACATCAGACATAGAAGGACAGCTGTGCAGGAAGAAGGCTTTGATTCACAAAAAGTATGGGCCATCCAAATTAGAAGATTTAAAGGATAAATAATGCATTATTTTATACAGGTGTATTTGGCATCAGACAAGGTATATAATTGTGTTCGTCTCTCACTATCCTGATTTCCAATATTCTTCCAGATTTGCATTTTATGTCTCTGTTAATACCGTAAGTCATGACCTAATACACCAGTGAACTGACTATAATATCTGTTACAATGCTGCCCTCTAGTGCTGTCAGCTTTCATTACAGCGCTGCCTGTGTCATAGGGCTCTGTGGTCCTGATTTATCAGGCTGCACTGGCTGTAAAGAAAAACTCTGGGCAGAATAAACATTAACCCTTGCAGTGGGGCTACCACCATAATGCAAGGGTTAACTGCTTGTTTTTCTCTAGGAGACTGAATAAAGAAGACATACTCAACCTGAGCCTCGCTCCTGCTGCAGAGAGCATTCACCTCTCTCCCCCTCCGCTCTGGCAAACTCTTTACCCCAACCTGTCCGTCTATCTCCCGCTCTGGCTGCTTTTAGGCGAACCCTTTTTAAGACTCATCTCTTCAGGGAAGCCTATCCCACCGCAACCTAACCACTGAACCATCACTTTCTCACACAATTAATTCCCGCACAGCTACCTCCTCATGTATCAATTGCCCCTCCCTTTTAGAGTGTAAGCCCCCAATGGCAGGGCCCTCCTTACCTTCTTGTCCTGAATTGTATTGTTACTGTACTGTCTGCCTTATATTGTAAAGTGCTATATAAAGCCTTTATAATAATAATAATGTTCCTTGGCATCCTCACATATAATACATTGCATGAGAGGTGATGACTCATGGGTCATTAGACCGCCGGAGCTAGAGGGAGAAGAGGCTGCACGGACCGGTCTGGGAGCCACGCGGGACAAAAGATCAGGCAAGCATATCTTTTGACCCTGGACCAAAACAAGCACTTAACTCTTGCAGTGCAGGGGTAGCCCTACTGCAAGGGTTAATTTTCACTCTGCCCTGAGTTTTTCTTGAAATGGCCCTTAAACTGGCCGTGTCACTAGAATAAAACCTTGTAACTAAGGTATTCCCGAAAATAAAAGTATTATTACTCATCGATTATGCCACATGTACTGCCGGTCTTCACTCTGTTTATAATCTATGGCACCCAAAGAATCTTCAGCATCCAACACGTCTGGGACTGTCAGGGGCCGGGTCCCCCTCTGCATTCTCTGGTTTGTTCTTCCGGCCCCTACATCACTATAGGACACAGTAATGATGTAGGAGCTGGCTGGTTAAACCACTTCAGTCACTCAGCAGGGAACCAGGTAGATGACACACACAGACGTGTTGGATGCCTCGGATTGTTCACACAAAGTAGCTCTTAAGGTGGCCGTACACCTTACAATTTTCGATCGGAAATCTTCGTTGCTGCCAAGACCCCTCGATTCTAGCTCAAATAGCTCATCATGCACAGACCAATGTAGATTTCAATTATTGCTCGTTAGCAATACTAACTCAAAGTATTTCGTCGATAGACAGAACGCATTTTGGTTTGCGCATATACAGTGTTTTTCTTGCGATTTTCTTTCGTACAAAACCTCCACTAATCCATTGATTTTCGTTCCGTTTCCTGTCTGAACAATCGAGGAAATTCGGCCAGTTGTATAGTAATTGTGATCGTTCACTTCCCATCAACTGGCCTATTATCGTACGAAAAACCCGATCATAATCGTTTTACGAACGATAATCGTATGGTGTATGGGCACCTTTAAAGGGACTAAAGACTGGCTGTGTGGGCAATTAAAAATAGGTGAGTTTTTTTCCATTTGCGGGGAGATCTTTTCAGGTTTTTAATCTAATGACAGATTTGCTTTAAGGTATGCTTGACATATGGTAAGACTAACAGGGCCGTTCCTACCTTATTCGCCGCCTGAGGCAGCCAGGAGAAGGGGGGATCGGCGGCCGGCCGAGCTGTCAGCTGGGCAGAAGGCAGCAGCCATTCGAGCTGTTAGCCGGGCAGAAGGTGGCAGGTGGTCCAGCTGTCAGACAGGGGGTGGGGGCTTGGGTTGGCAGCCAACTATCATTGGTTTAAGGCAGGGGTTGCCTAATGGGATTTGTATTTTCACCAAAGCTGGAGGGCCAAAGTTTGACTAGCCCTGATTTAGTATGAAGCTGATCTGTTTTTTAATATATGACTAGCTAATGTATTCTGAGATTGGTTGCAAACAGGTTCCTTTCCTTACCAATCTGTGTGTGGGTCATCAATCACCAGGAGATTCTTAGGTTTTAGGACCACAGGAGGAGGCGGAGGTCCGGTCGGCTCTACCAGACCTGCGGCAGCCTGGGTAGTCTGCTTTACTGCATTGGAGAAAGAACTGAAGAGACTGGAACCTGGTGCAGAAGAAGAAGATGGAACCTGGGAATGTTGCTGTTGCTTCCTCTCCATGGCCGGGGACACAGGGGAACTGGTGGAATTGTCTGGCCGTTGAAGGTCCATCATGTAGCCATTGGGAAGGTTGGCCACAAAGCTGCTGTCGGAGAGACGTCTACGTAGAAAATTCATGGCTGTGGCTTAGTGAGGAAACTTGGAGGCCTTTCTACTGTTTGGGGGTCAGCTGATGGACCTTTCCAGTTGGGTTCCCAAACCTTTTCCTAGTCTTTGTGCTGTAGAGAAAAGAAAGAGGTTGAGTCAGCTAAAACATATCAATGCACTGAAAGCAGAGAGGAAAACAGAGAATAATTCATAAAGGTTGAGATAGTGAGCAATTAACGTCAACACATGATAGAACCCAGACCAAGTGGACTTGAAAGGAGCAGTTACCCATGTCCAGTGTTATCTTATCTGTTTGCGCAAGCCTAAAAAGTATATTCTGTGGTCTAATCACAACCTCAGAACTTTTTTAGACCTTAAAATTGCAGACAAAAACATAACCGTTTCCCTACTTTAAAGTTCAGCAAAAACAAGATTATATATGACCTTTTATAGAAATACTACTAAGGTCCGGGATAGAGGTTCCCATAGATGTAGATCATTTTATGTATTTGATGTATTCATGTTTCTCAGTGCACCCAGATATCTCAAAGCAGTGGGATAATGGGTATAATATTATATGATAGAGTAACTGTGTTTGAAGACACAAGGTACTAAATCAGAGGAGTAATTAGAAACCTCAGGGCCCTGATGCAAGAAACTATGAAGGGCACCCAACATCCCCCCACTCCCCCACCCCCAATCTAAAAAAAGCATGATTCTGATACTTTTTTCCATTTTCAATAAACAAGTGTTGTAAATGGCTGCTGCTGGTGGTGTAACTAATCCTATTGTTACCAAAATGTATCCTGCAATCACAGTAAAGCATGTTCCTATCACTGGCGGAACTACCAGGGTCGCAGCAGTCGCATGAGCATATTTAGGAATCCTAAATATAGTGCTCGTTCTTTAACCCTTTCACTGCAAGGCATTTTTAAACACATGTTATAATCCACATTTTAGGCCTCAAAAATTACTTCAAACCCCCAAAACATTATTTATGCAAAGACCCTAAAGAATAAAATGGTGGCAGTTGCCAATTTATACGTTACATTAGCACAACTCATTATAAAACCCCAAATTTTAGTAAAAAATACACTTACGTTAATTTAATTTCCCAAAAAACAATATAATACCCGAGAAAATAATAAAGGTGAAGTTATGACGAGTAAATAGATACTATTTATTTATTTATTTTACTTAAATACTATCACATAAAGGGTCTTACAAGCCCCTTATGTGATAGCACATTGGAGGTGACAGGTTCTCTTTAAGGTGACATTAGGGGTCATTTAGATCCCTTGTGTCACCTTTCCACTCCAAATAAGCTTTTGGAGCACAGATTGCACTCTGATAGCTTCTTCCCCGGCTCCTGCAGCTGAGGTACGGAAAGTGATGCAATCAGCCTCACTTCTGGCCCCATTCAGCGGGGAGGAGAACATCAAATGGATGTTTGCTGGTATCCATCCCTGCTTCCCGCCAACACCCATGATGCTGGTCCTGGGCCCGCAGGAGGGGCAGAGTAGCCAAGAAAGCAAAACAGGGTGTCCGGCAGGGTGCACTACACGGGCCCCAAAGTGGTGGAACGCCAGGACCCGGTTGCAAATGCGGAACTAGATATATCATCATCAGATATATTTTTTATAATGAATTATTGCATGCATGCTCAGTAATATGTAAGTGTAAAGTTGCCATAAATTCCCCCAGTATGTTTACTCAGATCAGTGTAGCTGTATTACTTTGTAATGTTGTCCTGCATTGGCAAAATGCAAGGTAATGTCAAGTAGTGGCGCAAGGTAAGGACAGCCCAGGACCCTGCACTTTTATAACAAAGTTGGCATTGGTTCCCTTAACAAGTAGTTAAAGGAGAACTATGGGGTGAGTGAACTACACTCAACCCCAGAGTTAGAGCCGACGTGCGACATTGAAGCTGTCTGGAGGGACAGACGGTGGAGGGAGCAGGCATAGACAGGCAGAGCCAGCTGTCAATCAGCCGGTAGGGTGGATCTCGACAGTATTGTCGGGATCCGTTCTGGCAGCGACGCTCTCAGCATATAGCAGGCATTTGCCAGCTATATGCTGAGTTTTGGGTCACAGGAGGATGTTAGTATATGTCCTCCCGTGACCCTAAAGAGAACTATGGGATAAAAATGTTAGTTCTCTTTTAAAAAATGAATAAAGTCACCAAAGTCACCAAAGAGGATTCCACACATTTATTTGTGTAACATGACAATAGTCAGATAAAGCCGACCTTTTGGGGTCTCACAGGGTCTCTTTATTAAGGTGATGTTGTGACGTCCTATGTCACCTTCCTAAGTCTCCTTGGGTAGGGTACATGTGAGTGCCCAAGATGTCGGCTTTATTTGACTAATGTGACGTTCCACAAATAAGTGTGTGGAATGCTGATCGGTGACTTTTCATCCTTTTTGCTGTTTTGGGCGGTGCTGTCCGCTGCAGTCACAAGCGCCATCTTGCCACATGGGGTGGAATACTCCTCGGAGTGGATCTCAGATCAACATTGTACTTCTGTAGCAGTTCACACTTTTATTTAGCACCAGATAGCAGATCTGTGAAAGTCATCAACTGAAAGCAAAAGCTTCTTCCCTGTGATGGATGTTTATCCGCGGTGCCAGGCTCCTGACAAGAGGGTCTTTAGTGGAAGCTGAGCGTCATCAGTAACATTTCCTGAGCTGGGAATTAGTTACAGAGAATAACACTCCTCCCACGCTAAGCTAACATTACACGGCTTCAAAAACTGGATTACATTAAAGTCAGAATTTCTGTTCCATCCTGATAGCGGATGTAACATGTGTCTGTTCTAAGATGGTGCGTTCCCCGCTGATTACCGTAACTCACTCTGAATCCTTTATTTACATCACTGTACGGTTCATATCCTTAAAGTGACATTAAACCCTCAGATTTTTTAACATAAACCAATACTGTAATGTGTGCCTTACTGTAATTCATGGTTGTTTCCCTTCTCTTTGCTGCTCTTCCTTTTAAATCCTCATGTCTTCTCATGCTGGGGGAGAACTTCCCTTTTCAGCTCAGGGCCTCTTCCTGTAGTGCTGCCTCCGGTTACAAGCCCATAGAAACGTATACACAGACACCGTGTATCCATTCCAGAGACAAGGCAGTCTGCTGCAAAACAGAAGTTCTGCCCAGCATGAGAACAGATACAGATTTAAAAGGAAGAGCAGCAAAGAGAAGTGAAACAGCCATGGATTACAGTAAGGCGCACATTACAGTATTGTTTTATGTTAAAAAATCTGAGGGTTTAATGTCACTTTAAGGACTCATTTACGTCTTTGCATTAAGGCAACATATTCACAATAAATGGGCTTTCAACGCATCCTAACGTGCCTAAAATCACACATTTCACATCACTTTTTCTGTAACGCAACCCATGGCACGGCGCTGAATCCCACCTGTAATATATTTTATTGCTTGCTGATCTTGCCAGAAGATTGGATTTTTTTTTTTTACTTCTTTACAGGGTGACAACACTGTTCGTGCTGTAGTGAAATCACAAAGCATTGTTGTCACCCTGAGGACCGGTTAGTCTTAGATGGACTTGTAGTTTTAAATGAATTTTATGTAAGTGACAAAAGAAGAAAATTAAAGCCCAACTCCAGGCTAACATTTTTTAAGAAGAACCCCCGCACTGCAAGGGTTAAGAGCTCCTTTTTGCTCAGGGCAAAAAAAAAAGTTATACTGACCTGTCTAAAAGCCCATCAGCTTTTAGACCGGTCCCTGGAGCGTCTCTCCCCCTTCTCTGCAGCAGTCTAAAGTCCCTGAGTCATCATCTTCTATACACAGTGTATAGGACGTGAGGATGCTGAGCGACATTTCATCTCTGCAGCGGAGGAGACAGGCAGGAGGGAGCGCTGTCAGAACCAGCCGTCTCCAGGTATCGGGTGAGTATAACTTTATTATTTTTAACCCCAGGTAAAAACTAGCACTTAACCCTTGCAGGGCGGGGGCAGCACCACTGCAAGGTTTAATAACATTTGTAACCCTTTCTTTAAGCACATATTCAACAGTTTTGTTTTTATTTTGGTAAAAAGATTTTAGACCCCGTTCACATTGAGCGATTTATCGCGCGGTAATTCCCGCGATATCGCGGCAATTTACCGCGCGATATCGCTCTCCAATGCTTCTCAATGGGGCAAAGGGTCCTGCGTGTCATGTGTCGCTACCGCAGGACCCTTTTTGGAGCGGATTTAGCCGCGATTCAAGCTTGCTTAATGCAAGCATTTGCGCGATTTTGAGCGATATTGCACGACGAGCGATATTGAGCGCAACTTTTTCCTATTGGGCTGTATGCAATCAGGAGCAATATCGCTCGAAATCGCTAAAAAAAAGGGTCATGTAGGAGCGACGAGCTACAAGCGATATTGAGCGATATTGAGCGACGAGATGTGAACAGGATTGGTGAAGCTACATAGAGCGATATCGCGTGGAAATATGAGCGATATCGCTGCAAAAATCGCGCGATAAATCGCTCAGTGTGAACTGGGCCTTATGGTCTGTCCCAATCCCTGTAACTGTCATTTTTCCTGGATAGCTTGGCCTGAAGGAGACCTTATGATGAAGGGAACTTTATAATGCCCCGTGTACTGTAAGAGTGGCTGGACAGCTTTAAAAAAACAATAAATATGTCATAAAGAAGGTGGTTGGAAATTATGCGCAAACATTTTCTTACTGTATATCATACAAACACATTTTATTATGTGCCCCTCCCTTTTAGATTGTAAGCTCATGTGCAGGGTCCTCCTAACTATCTCGTCTTGAATTGTATTGTAACTGTAATGTCTTCCTTATATTGTAAAGTGCTGCTCAAACTGTTGTCGTCTACATCTCCAACCTTGTCTCAGAGTATCACCCTAGCTGTCCCCTCCGCTCTCCCAATGACCTCCTGCTTTCCAGCTCCCTCGTCAACTCCTTCCATGCTCGCCTCCAGGACTTCTCTAGAGTCTCTCCCATCCTCTGGAACTCTTTACCCTAACCTGTCCGTCTATCTCCCACTCTGACTGCCTTTAGGCGATCCCTTAAGACTCCTCTCTTCAGGAAAGTCTATCACACCTCAAACTAACCACTCAACCATCACGTTCTAAGACAATCCATCCCCACA